GACTGGATTTAAAAAAAAAACAAAACAAAACAAAAAAAGCTCGCAAAAAGGCCTTTTTTTTTTTGTTTGTTTTTGTTTTCTCCCCCCAAGTAAGACTCAGTCATTCTCAGCAAGAGCCAAAAGGTAAAACCAGTAGGACTAGAAAACAACCTCAAAAAGTTCACAAAGGTCAAGTGACAATTTGGGAGTGAGGAAAGAAGGCGACACGAGTCGAGTGGAGTCGCTGCCGGTGGGCCAGGCAGGGGCTTGGTCTTACCCAGAAGAGAAGGTTGAAAAAGAAGAGGAGATACTTGATGCATTTGTTGACAGCCATGGCGCGGGCCTCGTCGTCGCTAGTCCAGGTGGAACTTCTTCCCTCATTTGTTCATCCCGCTCGACCTGTTGCCGCGGGCCACGCCCCGCGTCACGCGTCACGCGACGGCCACGCAGCTCGCTGGCGAGGACCCGCTTCGGCCGGGAGATGGCGCCACCTGCACACAAACAAAAAACCCCAGCACTCGCCTTTCGAACGAGGCCGCCGGGGCGAGGGAGGATTCCGTCTATGCGTTCGGTCAACATGATCATTTCGTCATTTTTCATTCAACGTCTACAATTAAGGCGGAATGCATTTCATGAACAAACAGTTTTTCACCCGGTTGCAAAGTGGACAATTACAATTTGGACTCAAAAGGCCGACGATTTGTTGAAAAGAAACTTCGATAACTGGTTTGACTGTCGTTATAAAAAACAATCCATGTATTGGTTTAAATGCATTGTAATTTAGCCGCGATCCATTTGATAAAAACGTGAAAGATCATCTCTTTGAAATGCATTTTATCAATTGGAAACTGACGCAAATAGTCAAATAGCCGACGGACGGAGACGCATCGGCGCTGACACAAAGATGACGAAGATGAAGATGGAGGCGGGGGATGCGAGGGGGAGGGGGGGGGGGTCGGCGTCGCTCCTGGGCGGGGCTTGGCGACAGTCGCAGCATCGTCTCGCACTTCGGGTTCTGCTCGTCGCTCACAACGTACCGGAGCTCCGCTTCCGGTCCGGTCCGAACTCGGCTGCCGGCCTGCCCGCGCGTCTGAGTCAACTTGACGGAGATGAAGACGAAGATGCGGCGAGACTGAGCGCAGCCAGAGACACACCCACAAACGCGCACACGCGGAGGCGCCATTGTCTCATCACGCACGCACGCGCGCGAGACGATGCTGGCATCTTGGCTCGCGCTCGCGGCCCAGCTGCTCGGTTCGTTGCAGGTAGGACGGGCTTCGAACCTCGGGCGTCTTTGTGTACGCGTGTGGGCGCGCGTGCGAGGAGCGGGTCGGTCGGTCGGAGCACGGCGCGCACGCGCCCATGCGGAGCTCACTCTGCTCGCCGGCCACGATCAGCGGCCGGGGCGCGCGCGTGCATGTGCACGTTTTTTTTTTTTTTTTTGAATGTTGTCACTTAGCGTAGGTGCTAGTTGCTTAGCTGGGGCTAGCCTTAGCAGCGGGCTAACAATTTTCGGGGGAGGGGGCCTTGACGTCACATGTGGTTTTCCAGTTCTGAGTTGGTGTCCAGAAAACCCCCATCGCAAGTCGTTGTTGTCGAACCGTGCCCTGACATCAACTGGAGACAGCTTGATTTGTCTCCATATGTGCTGGACAGGACATTGACTGGCGAACAGGGAGTTGTTCTGGACATGTGATTTCAGTCCGTTGTTTGTCTACATGCAAGGAGCTGTGGGGAAAGAGATGTCCGTCTTTCACGCGATGACGTGAATTCCTCGAGGGCCGCTTGTGGGAGCCCACCGCTACCAGGAAGTGCGGCTTTTTGGTCCCGTCTCCCGACTTTGATTGGTCACAATGGGCTCAGTGTTGTTTGAGAGACACCCCGCCGCCGCCCCACGGCTCCCTCCTCTTGCCGCTCGTCACCCGCTCGTCACGTCGGTGGACTGTTCCCTCGACGATAAGTCGCAGATGCGGCAGGAAGCCTGAAACACAAATCAAAGCGAAGCTCCAGATTAAGCGAGCACCAGCCGGTGGAACCTTTCTTGGAGGGGCGGTTTGCAGGCGAACCATTTTGACACAGCAATGTTGTCCTGTCAAAGACGAGACAGTACCCGAGCAAACAAAGCCGAGAAACAAAGTCACCCTAACGCCCCTACATTCTCCAGTTGACTTAATAAACACCCGATGAAATTGCGTTTGTGAAAATAAAGGCCTCATCTTTCATAAACGAGCCTTTCCCCCGAATCGATGCCCGATACTTTCGACAGATCAGTCAATCAACACCCAAATGGCCACATGATCCCAAAATGCATTGCTGAAAATAAATCAGCACATCAATGGCTCGCAACTAACAGGGTGCTTTGGACCGAGGGGATCAAATGGGGTCAAGTGCGAGTCGAGCGCATGCTAGGTTCGGTTTAGCATTCGCAACATTAGCATTCAAGCGGCCCCGGGGGCCGGCGGGGGATGGGGGCAGTCTCGGTGTCCATGGCGACGCTGGAATCTGACACACTTAATGAGCATCTCCTTTCATCTCCGTTGTCATGGAGACAGCTTAGCGCAGCAACCGTCCTGCCTGCGAAACGTTGCCCGACCTTTTTACAATTTTCTCACTGCCTGCTTGGAGACCAGGCGGCTTTCAAACGCGCGTCACGTGCGTAGATATGCTCCTTCTCAACTGGGGAGCGGCATCGCGGGTGGGTCGTGCACCCGAAATTGTGGGGGCGGGGGGATTGGAGTTAAAAAAAAAAAAAAAAAAAAGAAGGATGTATCGTCTAAAACAGAGGTCCCCAACCTTTTTTGCCCCACGGACGGGTTTCATGTCAGACAATATTTTCAGGGACCGGCCTTTAAGGCCGGATAGATACAATAAGATATGACCTGCATGAAAGGTGTGTTATTTTTGAAACATAATCACGAATCATGACATGAGGAACATCCTATCTGGCTGCAACATTCTCTGGTCGCTACGGTAACGTTTAAACGTGCCTTCAAAATAAGATACGCCGCAAATAAAAAGAGCATGAAAAATACGACTCACCATCGCCGCTTGTATGCAGAGTAGGCTTGGTGCGTGTGAATCTCCCGTTGAGAAAAAAAACGCATTTGAAATAGCCTTCTCTTTGTTGAAAGTCGTAGGCTCCGCTCCTCTTTTGTCTCCTGGCTGGGCCTTTTCCCCTTCCCGAAAAAACTTTTCAAAGACATTTGTTTTTTATGCGGTAACCTATCACGTGACCGAGAAGCACCTGCATCAAGAGTGACATACTGTAGACTGATATAACAGAGGATCCGGTCATTTTTCAAATTCCGCAATGAATAAAACGGAAGGAATGTAAGTTATACTGTACGTATACGTGACTTGCCGTCGTCTGTGTTTCAGGTGGCTCCGGCTTTCCAGGTGAGTCTGAATGACGCAGGCCAGATCATGGTGAACCTGGAGACTTCCGACCTTCGGGAGAACATCTCCGCGTACGCGGCGCAGATCACCGGGGAGCCTCGTCCCGCCGTGATCCTGTTTGGGGGGACTGGCGAGCCCCTGCTGTTCAACACGTCCTTCCATGGTCTCATCTACAGCGTGGGTCTCCTGCTTCAACGAGGACCGTTGTGGTCCAGACCCATCAAGACCGTGTCCCTCCTCACCAGTGAGCAGACCGGCAAGAACGACAGAGTCTCCCCCCCCTAAGGCTCTCGATTCGAGTTCTCCTGTCGCCCACAGGGCCGCTTCCTGTGAGTGGCGTATGGATTTCAGACTACAAGGAATCTCCAGAGACCGGCGTGGTCTTCGACCTTGTCAGTCCGACTGGGAACATTTTCAGCAGAGTCAACATCAGCTACAGCGAAGGAAGCGAGAGGCGCTCTATGCTCTACAAAGGTCACGCCGTCGCATGACGGCCACACTCCATGTGGCTCTGCGTAGTCGCAGGTGGTCGCAACTGATGCGTTGTTTTTCAGACTTTTACAAGGGGAAGACCGTGTTCAAGCACTGGCTCCCGGGGGTGTGCTACCGCAACATCACCTTCCAGCTCATCTCTGAGGCCAGTGCCTACCAGACGGCCATGAGGACGCAGAGTGACATCACCCACGTGCCCATGCACCACAGGACGGGTACGACTAATAGCATATACCGATGTTGGAACTTTTTATGGAGGGGCGCCAAGATCTCAAGAGTTGTTCCTTCTCCTCTGCAGTGCCGTATCCCCCCCTCAACATCTCGTGGAAGATTGTGGATCTGAGCCAAAGCCCGACGCGGTCAAGTCAACGGGCTGGCCGCCATTCCCGTCACGTCCCGCTCATGGACGAGGAGGAGGCGAAGCCCTCCGAGGAGTCCCCGATGGCCTCCACTGAGGAACCGGCACACGACCCGAGCACCATCAGCGAGACCCCGGACGCCCCGACCCCGTGGTCGGACTCCGCCACCGAGATTCCCGTCGACAGGGAAGACGAGTTTGTCAACGGCGAGGAGCACGAGTACGAAGACTCCAATGACGCGGGGTCGGCGATGGGTCTCCCTGCAGAGGCTTTGGTCCTGCCCACTCACATGCCCCCCGTCCTGCTAGAGGTGCGCTGGCTGCCCCCCAGAGCGCCCACCAGCTACGACGGCTTCCACGTCTACGTTTTCAGGGACGGTAAGCTGGACGGCAACACTGTGTGACCTTGAAATGCGGGTGTGCCCCTCGTCTTCAGAGGTGGGGGGGGGGGACTGCAGTCATGACTTGACCCGAGTCAGACGTCCGCCGCCAATCTTAGGACTCGGAACGTGCTCGTACCTCGCATAAATGTGACTTCCTTCCACCTGTGTCCAGGGAACACCACTCAAACGGCCAGCGTGGATGAAAGTACTCATGAGTTCTTCGCCGAGCTGACAGAGGCGGGAACGTATCACGTCAGAGTCACCACGCTCAGCACGGGAGGAGACTGTGAGCCCAGAGAGAGCAGCGCAGACGGCGGATTCACCTTCTACCTCGGTGTGTCGCCGTGGACTTTTGGTTTCCCAAGTCCAACCCAAGACAAGCTCCAATCTGGCCCTCAATGTCATTTTACGTGACCGGCCTTGCTTGCCGCTTGTTCAAAACTAAACATAAATCAAAAGAATCAGATTCACATTTATCGGCCAAGTATTGTCAGAACACACATGGAATTCGTCTCCGGTGGTAAAGGCGACCCTAGTATCGCAAGAACACGCAACTCGGATAAACAAGGGCGTGACATACAAGTATGGCTGACTTTCCGTCACACAAGGGGACCGCCGTGCAGTAGTACCACCCAATGAAAGCTGTGCGACAACGTGCGAGTATCGCGCAGAGCTCAAGTGAATCCCATGCAACAAGCCGCCACACGCAGCACAAATGTGCCAACAGACTCCCCCTAACAAAGTTTGCCACCCCCGCCGCCATCCTCGCCTGACTTGGAGTTTTGTTTCCCAGGTCCCGACGGTGAGGTTCTGCGTGAGCTACGCCAGCGTCCACGGAAAGTAACGGTGCGCTTGCTGGACTCCAGCACGGCCGCTGTATCCTGGGCGCAGTCCCCGGAGACCCACAAAGGCAGCGTGGTGTCGGTGGTGTCCACCACCTGCCTGAAGCCCAGCCTGAGCCAAAGGATGGAAAGCAACTACTGCGGCGAGGTAATGCCTCCCACCAACTCACTGCCTTGTTGGACTTTGAAAGGCTCACATCACCGCGCTTTTGGACAGGAAAACTCAACAAGCGACATCATCAGCAACTTGACTCCAGGGGCTCAGTACCGGGTGCTGGTCTACCACACAAACGGACCCCTGATCAGTCCTCCCTCGGAACCGGTCATCATGGATATTGGTGATTAGCTCACATTACCCTCGTGTTAGACGTGCCACGTCGAGGCAAATGGACTCCTCTTGGTTATCCAAGACGTTCTTCAGTTCAAAAATTTCCCACCCTGTGTCCGGTGGGGTGGTCGCTCGAGGGTTGTTCCTGCTGCCAGATGTGGCCGGTGTGGTCATTCACCTGCCAAGTGACAAAACGATTCTTTAATGGCCATCTTTCACACCGACTCAGACAATCTTTCGAGGAGAGCTGTTGGGATCTTGTTGAAAGCCACCAGGCGGCTGAACAGCGGCTGCTCACGCAGTCAGGTCATTTCCAAACAACAAATAAAGCCGACAGACAAGCACAACAAAAAAGCAATTATACCAAACCAACTATGACTGACAGGAACAGACAACCGCAACAAAAAATACAAACGCCCAAAACACAGCATCGACCACGATCAAACCGCAAACGGTTAACGGACAATCCACCACAACAATCGACAATAGACGACCAACAACCAAGTCAACCGCACTAACAGTAACAAGCAAGCACAATACATAACCACAAGAGCCGACAGACGACAGGCAGGCAAGAAACCAAACGGCAATCTTCAAGGGACCACCCCCAGAGAGGTCACCCAAACTGGAGAAAAGTCAAGGACCAAAGAGTCCATTTGCCTCCGCTCGACTTTTGCAACGAACCCATCACCACAGAGATCAATTATGATTCTGACGATCGGCCGTTGTTGCGCCAGAGCCCACGGGCGTCCGAGAGCTGGCCGTGTACCCGCTGGGCCCCACGGCGGTCATCTTGAGCTGGCAGCGTCTGTATCACGTGGCCTTCCGCAAGTATGTCCTCCAGACCTTCTTCTTCAACCCCGTCACCCTCAGCTCCGAGTGGACCACGTACTACGAGATTGCCGCCACCGCCTCCGTCATAGCATCAGTGGTAAAATAAATACATTCAAAGAATTGACCCCCACCCCCCCCAAAAAAAAACCCAAAAAGCAAGCACCTCCAAATGTGCCACAAACATGTGCCACAAACGGTCTTGGGGTTCATTATCTAATGGCATTGTCTTCCTTTTTAGAGGGTGACCGATCTGCTGCCAGCTTGGCACTATAACTTTCGCGTTACCATGGTGACGTGGGGCGACCCACCACTCAGTTGCTGCGACGGCTCCACCATCAGCTTTGTCACAGGTACCCAATCCAAAGGAATACACCCCCCATCCCCGACTCCCCCGCACTCATGAGCGTTGGCTTTTGTCGCACAGCTCCGGAGGCGCCTCATATCTCCGTGGCGGATTACTCCCACGGCGTCCTCGATGTTCGTTGGACATACGGGGAACTCTACGTGGACCTGTCACACTCCAGGATTACGCACTGGCAGGTGGCGGCGGTCGGCAAGAAAGGTCCCGGGAGATGCTTCTCGGCGGACGTGAGGGCTCACTTGTTGCCATGGTGTCACCGTGCGGTTGCCAAGTTGTTTCGGGTGGCGACTCCGGTTGTTCGAGGCTCTCCGTTTGGTTGCTTGAAAGTTCGTGGTGGGAAAATCCAAGTTGCTTCCAATGCGGTGCCCTGCATAGGCATGCCCAAGCCGATTCCAAATGTGCTTGTTTATTTGGTCCGTACCACGTGCAAGTGGGAGTCGAGAAGAAATCGCAGGGTTCTTTCCTAAAGAGTCTCGCAATGTGAGCTCATTTCCATCTGCGGTCCCTCATGCTCCAGGGCATGAGAAAAATCGAGAAATCAAAAGAGTACTACTTCCAAATAGGTCAAAGTAAAAAGTCCACGGTAACCTCGAGTAGCTCTCTCAACCACCGTCTTGTCCTCCTCGAGTTTCATCGACGACCTTGGTCCCAGTGTCCTCCGCGAGCTTTTTTCTCCACTAGTTTTCTCCTGAGGTCCTCTTCTACTTTAGTTCTCCTCAATTTTTATCCTCTCGAGTTTCAACTTGTACCGTCGCTGTCCAAATGCGCTCTGCGAGCTTTCTCCCGGACGAGCTTGACCTGGTTTTGTCCCAACGTCCGATACAAGGTTCACCGTCCGCTAGTTCTCTCCTCTTGTCGTTGAGTTTTCCCTTTTGTCATCTTCTCGTTTCATCTTGGAAGAGATCGGTTCTCCGATAGATGGTGTCGTCGACTCGTTCATTCCTAATGTCCTCCGCTCGGCGTGCTGTCTCAAATTAAAAGCCATGAACACATGCTTGCCAGGTTCCTCGCAACGTGATGAGCGCCGGCCTGCCACTGCCGCCCGGCGACATCTACAACCTGACGGTGACGGCGTACACGGAGCGCAGCCGCAACACGTCCGTTCCCAGCATCATCAAACTGGGTCTGAGCATTCATGCGTGCTAATCATCAATGAGATCGACCTGATTCTGACAAAGGGCGTCCGGCGTGTTTTCACCCGCAGAACCGGCGCCCCCCAGGTCCGTGTACGCCGTCAACGCCACGCACTCGTCGGTGACTCTGTTGTGGAGCGAGGACGGCGTCGTGGACCACTACCAGGTGCTCTGCAAACCAAGCCCGGGCAACAAAGAGATGAGGGTGAGCCCCCGGGAGACGTCTCAAACGACCTGCGCTTTTTCCTCACGCTCCTTCTTGGTCCGCTTCAGACTCGAGAGCCTCAGGTGTCCAGCTCGCACGTGCTGACCGTTTCCGGCCTGATGCCGTCGTCCAGCTACAACTGCAGCGTGGTCGGCGTCAGCTACAGCGCGCCCAGCAAGCCTGCCCACATCACCATCACCACAGCCGGTAGGGGGCGCTGCCGCACAGGAGACTAACCTGAATGAAACGGCGATAACAGGATGCGTTAGTTCGCGTCCCTAACGCCTCTGGGTGTGCGTGCACGCGGGCAGCCAAAGAGACGAAGCCCGGCGTGGCGGCCATCTCGGCCTTGGCCGTCCTGAGCGTCCTGCTGCTGAGCCTGCTGATTCTCTTCTTGCTGCTTCTCCGCAAGAGGCATCTGCAGATGAGCAGGTACCAACAAACCGCCGCCGAGTTTCACGATCAACTCCGCAGGCGGAATTTCACGCTCCTCTCCTCTCGTGTTTCAGGGGGTGTGGCGCCGAGACATTCGTCAACTTTGCTTCATTCGAAAGAGACGGGAAGCTACCGTACAACTGGTACGACGACGCGCCGCTTCTTCGTTTGACGCTCGGTTTTCATTTCAAGATGAAGCAAATTCTTGCCGTAGAGAAGATTGTCCTAGCAAAAAAGGCCGCCATGTGGCATTCCGTGTTTTCTTTTCAGCCTGGTAATAGTACGAGGGGTTCAAATGAAAAGAAATGGAAGAAAAGAAGCTGCTCTCTTCATTCCTTCCATGACTGTATATACGGCGGCACACGTGACAATTTTGTGCATAGGAATGATACCTCATTCGTGGCCACAAATGAACATTTTCCGGGCCTGTTTTAATTAGCGGCCACCAATTGCGTCGGTAACGGTTAGTCAAATTAATCAAGAAATGTACGATTTGCGATTAATAAAAGAGCTGAAAGACGGTCAGTCAGTCATCACTTAACGCTTCCAGTGCGTCACCATTTCTTTGCGCCTTTATGTGTTCACCGATTGACGCGATCAGGAACAAACGAAGACAGCAAAGTAGACCCGCGGGTGGGCCCATCTTCGGCTACGATTTGGTGACGCCAGAGTCGAGATGGAGACGGGCTGTCGTAAATGGGCCAGGCTCCGTTTTCATCCGGCGCGCATGAGTCATCAAGTGTGTGTGGAGCACTAAATGTTCCTCTTTGATGTGTACTAATGCAGTCGCAGCAGCAGCAGCGTGTTGGTGTCTCTCTGTTTGTGTTTTTATTGGGGTTTTTTTGTGCTCTATTTGAACCCCCCCCCACCCAGGCGAAGAAGCCTCTTTGCCTTCCTTACCCTTCTGCCATCCTGCCTTTGGACTGACTATCTTTTGGCTTTTTATATTAATCCATGGTAAGTAAGCGAGCGAGCCAACGCCTCTGTTTTCCGGCAGGAAAAGTCTGGTGAGCCGGCAGTCAATTTATTATTCATATTGAGGTGAATTATAGAAAGACACAATTAGGATTTTTTTTTTAACTTAAGTCACTTGTAAAATACATTCAATTAGCTAAATATTGAATAAAAGAAATTGATTATTGTCTTAATATTTTTCTATTTCCTGCACAATTATTGAAATAAAATAGTCTGTGGTCATTTTTGCACCATTACACAGAAGATGTCCTTAGAATTCATTAACAAAGTATGGAACGAAGTGCAACAAAATAGCTTATTTGATCTGAAATCGTTCATTGTTAAACGAACTGCTCATTTTTGGATGCGTCGTGAATTCAATCACAAGGAAGTATCCAATTTAACAAGAACATGTGATATTTACAACAAGGCTACCAATCGGCATTTTCTCATGCAAAAGTGTGTGGAAACTTTTGACTGGAAGCATTATCGTCTCAATGACCGCCAAAACGGTCCGATGATGTTATTCGAACACCCGCAGGCTGCCCCCGAGCCCAAATTTCAGGTGCCAACAAAAGCACCCGAAGCGCATCACCAGACTTATCCAGAAAGCATTTCTGAAACTTTTTGGGAGCGTCATGTGAGCTTTGGATGCGGCATGCTCCTCATTAGCCAATGAGACTTGGCGCCGATGCGTGGCGCACGTCCCGCTTGCATGACCACGGGGCCTGAACCGCACGAAAAGATTTCCCTAAACTCCAACCGCATTGGACCGTCAAGTCGTTCAGACACCTGCATGTTGAAACGAGAAGGCTCCCTTCTCAACCTTTGGTCTTTGTTGGGTTCGACCGATGCGCCGGACAGGATCTGGACTTTGCAAAGTCAACGTGACCGTATTTGCAAAAGGCCCACCTGCCCGACAGCCAATCAGCAGGCTAGCGTGATCCGGCTCCACGGCTGGGAAGGAAGGCGTGGCCGCATGGAGCGCACACTGCCTGCTACCAGTCCTTCGCCCATGCACGGCCATGCCTGGCAAGCCGTACTACCGGCTGGCGACCAGCTCCTTATCTGTCACAATATGAGTGGCATTGGCTGGCGCCCAGTCCAGCAAAAAGGATGGAGCCTCTAGTTGGAAGATCGGTCGAGCCCAGGCCTGTTTTGGTGCGTGAGTGGCGAGTTGACTTGTGTTTGTGTCATAGGGGCAAGACGGCCTTAAAGAAGCGCAAGCTGACAAGGTAACGCGACAAAGGCCACCTTTTCACGCGCGTGCGTACTGATGACGAGAATGACGTTCTAATCTCAGACCCCCCCCCCCCCCCCCCCCGCCGTGTCTTTTCAAGTCCCGTCCAGCTGGACGACTTTGACGCCTACTTCAAGGAGATGAGCAAAGACTCGGCCTACAAGTTCTCTCTGCAGTTTGAGGTGGGAGCAACGTTGCGTGGCGTGTCAAAAGTTGCATCGATGCCACATGTCCGCAAAACGCCTTGCAGGAGCTCAAGAGCGTGGGCCTCGACCTCTCCCATGACGCCGCCGACCTGCCCGTTAACAGGCCCAAGAACCGATACACCAACATCCTGCCCTGTCAGTAGGCCTGCCACTCACTTGACTTTGACTAAGTTGACGTTACTTTCACTCAACCCTCCATGATGTTTTCCATTCATTGAAAAATCACATCAAAATAAAGTGAAATAAAAAGAAGTCCCATTGGCCCCTTTGGACATCATTTCAAGTTCAAAAAAACAAACGGAACCCATTGAAACAATTCAAATCCCTTCATTTTGAAGCCCAATTGCCGACGTGGTGACCCACTTTTGTCCCACTCCCTAAAAAAGAGGAATACAATCTTACCGGGTAGCGAAGGTCCTCAAGGCACTGGGCAAATCTGCAACGGCGTCTCCCATCGTGCAGCTGAAGGGGTTGAAAGGCAAATGAGTGGCTCGAAAGCAAAACATCATGGCAAGGAGTTGCAATTACCTGAAGCACAAGTGACCGAGCCGCATGTTTGTTCCTGGCCAGACGACTTCAGTCGCGTCCGGCTGATCTCCATGCACGACGACGAAGGCGCCGACTACATCAACGCCAACTACATTCCTGTGAGTAGGGCGCACACAGGAACCACCAACTTGCCCGTCTCAAGGCACATCTTTGAATATTTATGCAATTATAACTAAACAGCGATTTAAGTGCTGGAAATAAAACATGGTTGAATGGATAGATTTGCCTTTTATAATTGAGTTAATGACAAGCGTATTTTACCGTGGTATACACTTTCACTCAAAGATACGTTTACTCAATAGACAGTCTACTTTTTCATTGTTAGATTTTTTTTTTTTTTACCACAAATCAATTCAGCAATAATTTCATGAGGAAAGAATTAAAAGTAATACATTTTAATAAAGCGATTTGATGGCTGAACGAATGCAACAAATATTGCATGACTCTTGAAAACGGAAATGCTCAGTGTGTGCTCTTATTTTTATGTTATTTTTTTTTGTGCAGGGCTACAAGCACGCCAAAGAGTACATCGCCACGCAAGGTCCACTGCCGGAGACGCGCAACGACTTCTGGAAGATGGTGCTCCAGCAGAAGTCGCCCATCGTGGTCATGCTGACGCAGTGCAACGAGCGGAGACGGGCAAGTCGGGGTTCCCGCGAGGGGGCCGCTCGCTTTGCTTGGCATCTAAACATGCCTTTGTCTCTGCTTGTTGCGCGACGTTCAGGTCAAGTGCGACCACTACTGGCCCTTCGGCGACGAACCCGTCATGTATGGCGAGATCAGCGTGGAGGTGCTCTCGGAAAACGAGTCGCCCGAGTGGACCATCAGGAAGTTCCGGCTGGGATATGTAAGTCGCCAACCAGTCAAATTTTGCATTTTTTTTTTTTACACTATTTCGGGTAGAAAAACAACTCCCCACCAACAAGCCTATCAGCCATTGGGGTTCAAATAACGACGGACTCGATTCCTGAAATGATGGTGCGAATGGGCGCCCGCAGGCGGACGAAACTCGGGACATCCTGCATCTGAACTACACTTCGTGGCCAGACCACGGCGTTCCCACGGTCAACGCCATCGAGAGCATCCTGCAGTTTGTCCATATCGTGCGGCAGCAGGCCAAGAGGACCAAAGACCCCATCGTGGTCCACTGCAGGTAGAGTACCGTGTCGTTTTTTTTTTTTTTTTTTTTTTTAACTGCATGCATGTTGCCATGGTGACAAAGCACATTTGTCCACGTAGTGCTGGCGTGGGCAGAACGGGCACCTTCATGGCCCTGGACCGCCTGATGCAGCACATCCGGGAGCACGAGTTCGCCGACATCCTGGGGATGGTGTCGGAGATGCGCTCCCACCGCCTGTCCATGGTCCAGACGGAGGAGCAGTACGTGTTCATACACCAATGCGTCCTGCTCATGTGGCAAAAGAAGAAGCAGCAGCATCAGCAGCATCAGCAGCAGTCACTCGCCTCTGACGTCATCTACGAGAACGCTGGCAAGACATAATGACCAAGTGCATGCTTCCGCGCGTGACTGAGCGAGTGAGTCCGCGCCACGTGATTACACTGCACCGCATCCCGACCCAGTTTGAGAACTTCTACTTTCAAACACGGCCCTTCGCTCGGAATCCAGCCAAAAGGAGAAGCCTCGCCGACTCGGAGTAGCAAGCAAATAGTGTGGGAAAAACAAACAAGATGTCCGACTCGTCGCTGCTTTACTGTCAAAAGGAACGGAAAGGCATCCACGTTGAAGAAGAATATTTTTCGCCTTTGAAGGGTGTCCAGAGCAACCTGACTTCTTCATTTTCTTCTTCAGTGTTTTTTCCACAAGTAAATCTCACTTCTTTTACTCCAAATACCAGCCTGTTTTATTTCCACACTCAAACTGATCCCCCACCCCTCCATCTTTTTACTCCGCATTTGACTGGCAGAGGAGGGCTGCCACTCACTTGACTTGACTCACTTTTTTTTTTTTGTTTTGTTTTAAAGACCGCGCAGCCCGCCACACCCTTCAGGATGTATGAGCACACTAATAATAAGAACGTAGGATAGAAAATTGAACTTTCCATTTTTGAGGAGCAAGCAGAAGTTTTGACTTTCTGTGCATTCTCGACATCCTCCTCCTGCGCCAATTTGGATGCGTAAAGACGGACAGGACCCCGCACGCGAACAGTTAGCGGGAGGTGATGCCGTCATGAGTTGTGTAGATATTGTCAACTGCTGTTTTTACTTGTCATGACTGTCAAAGACAAGGTGGCGTTTGTGAACCGGGGGCGGGCAAAGTCACGGCCGTGGGCCGCACGGCCCGCACGAGGTTCTTTTGATCTGGCACACGCAGGCCTCGAACATTTTTGCCACTCGTTTGTTCCATTTTTTTCAGAAACATTTTGTCTTGTGAAATCGATGACTCCCATCAGCAAGAATTTAAACGAGACACACTTCATGTGTGAAAGTATGACGAAATCAACTAAACTATCAAAAACATGAGATGCGTATGTAATTGTTCTTACTTTGTTTGCTCACCGTGATGAAAACTTGAAATCAGACTCGTTTAGTTCAGACGGATCCGAGCAGAAGTGGCGCCACTGACCAGACCGGCGGGACATTTATTCGAAAACGGAAGCACAAGAACCCGCTTCTTGCAAAACCAGCAAACACGAAAGAAAACTGAAATCTGGCTTCAATAGCCGGCGGCCGGGCCGGCGAACACGCTCACCGCCAGGCTGACGACAAACAGCTGGTGCGGCTCCTTCAGCCGCACCAGCGTCATCTTCAGCAGGCCGCGAGCGTCCTCGTGCAACAGCAGCAAGCGCTTGCCGTCCGAGTAGTAGTCTGAGCGGCCTCTTGGGCGCTCGGCGCTCGCCCTGACGCAGACGGGCGCGCTGACGCACCACAGCGGCTTGTAGATGTCCTCAATCACCGTCAGCGTCAGCACGCAGCAATTCTGCACCCATGCACGCAAGCACACGGCGCACTCAGTCAGGGCCGCCACACGCGTTTGTTTTGACTCTGGAGAGGGCAAATCTGGGTCCAGAAAGTCAAAACCCTGCCACAGTTTGCCTTGAGCCAAGGAACTTGTTTGTTTGTTTGTTTGAGTCAAAGCACCTGTGGCTCAATCCCAAAAACTTTCTGGACCTGGATTTGATACCTCTGCAACATTTGCATCTCATCCTTGCGCTGGGTAGTTCAAGCAAAAGCAAAAAAATCAATAATAGTCCAAGTGACGGCTGAAAGGCAAAATGCCGCTCGACTTTCTTTTTGTCGGTCGGGAAGTTCGACAGCGAACTGAAAGGTCCTGAATACGTCTCAGTCAAAGACCACCGAGCGCTTTCAAGGAAGAGCAGAATTTTAAAAATCCAATCTTGGACCTCTGCGTCAAGCTTTTGGGAGCCGTTGCAATCTTGCGATCTATCGGGGTCAGCACCTTACCTCCAAGGAGCCTTGCAGCATGTCACTCTCCCACACGAGCCGGATGCGGCCGGACAGCTGGCGGTGCTCCGACAAGTCACCTCTGTTGATGGGCCGCAGTTCCAGCAGGCCGTCCTGAGCTGCGTAGAGCAGAATTTTTAAAATCCAATCTTGGACCTCTGCGTCAAGCTGTTGCAATCTTGCGATCTATCGGGGTCAGCACCTTACCTCCAAGGAGCCTTGCAGCATGTCACTCTCCCACACGAGCCGGATGCGGCCGGACAGCTGGCGGGGCTCCGACAAGTCACCTCTGTTGATGGGCCGCAGTTCCAGCAGGCCGTCCTGAGCTGCGCGGCGCCACAACGAGCCGTCAGCAGATGCAGGAGGGCGGCTGTGCGTCAAAGAGAAATCGAGCACCTGACACGCAGCGGAGAGGATGGAAGTAGGCCTACATGATGTCAGAGGATGTGTCGTGCAGGCCCAAGTGCAGCGTGTACGTGCGCGTCCCCGAGTCGGCATGCAAGCGCTCCTCTGGCTCCCAGTACGACCTGCCGGGGGACACCGCTCTTGTGACTTCACCGCAGAAAAGGCGTTGAGCACTCCAAAGTATCGCGCTTCATCAAAAGCTCGCCTGTCCTCAATTTGACGATGAAATGCACACGACTGTCACAACTAAGACGCGGTCAGAATCGTCGTTTTTCAGAGAAGAGAAAGACTATATGCCTGCGAGTCTAGTTCGATGCGCTGCGCCGTTGCGCAGCTTGTGTTCAAATACAAATCCTTTCAAGGTTTGGAACTCGCGCAATATCAATGCCCGTTTTGCGAGCGCTAGCTCATCTATGGGGTTGCCCCGAAGCGTTGGGTGAAACTACCAGACTGCCGAAAGGCAAATTATGCCATGTGGTTGAATGCGCAAGCTTTTACGATGACTTTGACGGTCAACTTCAAGTAAGAGAGGCAATCGTCTCTCTTCTGTAGCCTTGCAGAGACGCTTGCTGCCAGTGTAGCGAGCGCACTAAACCTCAATTTTGCCATCGCGGGCACTCGTACCTGATGGGAGATCCCAGCAGACTCCTCTCGAGCAGCTTGTCCAAGTGCAGGCTGACCGTGACAAAAGCCACACTTTTATGACCCTGTGCACACGCACACAATTATCGGTGGGTTCCCTGCACTGTGATGCCAGGGTGGGCTTACGTTTATGCTCGAGCGCCACATTTGGTTTTGAAAACAGACAGATGGGGGTCAGCTCATTTATTGGAGGAGGTTAAAAAAAAAAAAAAGAAAGAAAAAAATGTCAACATATTCTTTCTTACGGTTAAAAAGCGTCAGTCAAATCGGTGTCAACGTGCTTATTTGAATCGAACAACATTCCCAAAGTTATCGCTCATAATTAATTTACCAATCTGGGGGGGAAAAAACATCACATCTTAAATCGTGAAACTGTTCACTCATTTTTCATTATTTCACACATGATTTGGAATGTACAAAGGGAAAATGTCACATGCAAATTTGTTTATTTTAACTATTTCAGCATTTTGGGGGGGTATACAAATACTTTCATAATACAATCCGTTTTTATTTTACTTTTCAATTCTTACTTGTACCGTGACTCAATCTAACAACTGTGGAAACAAACGTCAACCAAAACGGAGCAAATTTGGAAGGAAAAAGGGACTAGAAGAGCGGAAGGCCACTCACCCTCCAGAAGCCAACGATGAAAGCGGGCGGGAAAAAGACCGTCTGGACCAGCCGGTCTTTGCCCAGGAAGCGAGCGGACGGCCAAGCGGTGGCGGTCGTCCGGCAAAGCAGCGAGCGCCAGGCCGCGTCCTTGCGCACGGCGCACAGCCGGAGGGCGCGAACGTGAGGGTGGCGTACCAGGCGACTGCCGCTCCAGGACAGTGTGATGGACGTCTTAAAGACAGACACGGCGCTCAGCTCCGGGGTGGCCTCCCGCCCCAACTTATCCTGCAGTGTCACCTCCCACGACACGTTCATGCTCCTGGAAAGAAAGAAACACGTTTCATGCACGTTGCCCGGCCGCCAACTGGACGGTCCAAAAAACAACTTCGCTTCTCGGACAATCGGGACACACAAATCCCGGCACTGTATGAATCAATCCTTGACATGCATTTCACTTTGGACCAAAGACACGAGCCGCGAAGACGCCAAGAATCATGCCACCGGGCCGTTGCCTTGCAAGTTGTTGCGGCACACGCAGGAAGCGCGCCAACCCGCTTCGTGGGTTTGGTCTCGCGATCTCGGGCATGTAGCGACAAATGAGGTTTGACCGCGCATGAAACCAAAGGCCGATTTTCACGTGGCCTACCTGAGGATGTGTCCCATGCGCTGCGGCAGGCCAGTTAAGGGGTCAAAGTCTCGGGCTTCCCTCCTCAACTTGCTGAGTTGCTGCCCGCCCATCCTCCACAGGTATTTCTTTTTCCAGTCGCCCGGAGGGCGCTCCTGAGCGTCAGCCGCCACCCTCGCCGCGCCATCCTCCGTCGCCCCGGGCCTCCACGCCTCCCACCAGAAGTCGGCCATGTAAACCTTGCGCCATGTGTTGCTACGAGGACAAAAGGCCCAAATGTCACGGAGGGGCTCGACTGGCGCACTGCGCACCGCGACTGAATGTGGCCCACTCGTCGTTGGCCAGGCCGCGGAAGAGCTTGTTGACATGACTGAGGCTGAGCAGTGAGGCAGCATCCAGGTGGGACAGGATCTTCAGCAGGATCTCCGGTGGCAGCCTCAATAAAAACAAACAAGAGACACATCTTATCACTTCTTCGTGCGCTTTGGGCATCATCAAAATGATCCGAATCGTTGCACATTTTTAAATCGTTACATCCTTGAATCGTATCGGTCCTCCTGTGTCGAGAATTACACAGAATCATCTTTTGTGGAGCTGCACCCCTGACAAATAAGGCATCTTTGCTTGGGGGAGGTGGGGTTGAACCGTCAAGTGTAATTATGTAAAACGATGGAAAGACAAAATATTCAAAGCCGTAGAAGTCAGGTTAGCATTGTGTGGACAAGACTGTCCAGAAAGTACAGAGACTATGAAAATGTTGGATAAGAGGATTGGAAAAAGAAAGTTCAACACTGACTGCGATTAGCCAATCAGCAGTGAGCAAACTTACCTTTCCAGAACGATCTTCAAAGACGCCTTTAAATAATCGGCCCTGCTGAAACATTGGCCAGTTTCATTTCTTCTTGTTTCTCAAACAAACACAGAAAACACAAAAACAAACAGGAAAAAAAAGTTGACAAAACAGAGAGTTGAAGGTCAGCTCAGGTAAGTTAATTGATAAGTTCACAAAAAGGTCGAAGAAAGAGTTCACCTGCTGTTTGCTGCAGCGTCACATGAGCTTTGCGCCGGCTGATTCGGGGAACCCCCGGGGGGCCGGGAGCCCGGATCCGGCCTGGGGGCGACCGTCTCTCGCAGCACGCCGTCCGCCAAGCTCGCGGACACCTTCTGCCGCGCGGTCGCCACGGACGGCTCGTCGAGACGCCACCGCCGCCATTGTTCGAAAACGCCAGAGGGCTGCATCACTGCTCGCGGCCGCCAGATGGCAGCGTCGTGTCGCGTCGCGTCGCGTCACCGGACTTCCGAATGACTTGAGGACACGGACAAGGACAAGACTGGACTTGGTCACTTTGCGGTGCAGCAGCTCGACTTCGATTTATTCCATTATTTGATCATTGAACCGTTAGTTTGAAACGTGCACAAATAGACAATTCTAATGTCCCACATTATTGGTGCATTCATGCAACAGACTCGGCAACATTTTTTTTCAAGTCAAATATGACTGTTTTCAGAAACTATAACTTTTTGCAAACATGTTCAACTGTCAAACTTTTCTTCAATTTTTTTTAAAAAAATCATTTGCTTATAGATGGTTTTTTTGGGAAAATAAATGACATTTTGACAATTTTTTGGAGATATACATCGCTATAAGTACAGTATATGTATTTTTAAATTGTCATTTTTGGGGATGTGCACACCTTTCGCTCTTGAAAATATACTTTTTTTGTCAACTACTTTATCTTCTAGAAATAATGTCATTTCTTGAGAAAACGTTTTTCTTTCAGAATATTTCCTCTGACCTGGATTCAATGTTTTTCCCCCTCAGATATGTACTGCTTTTTAGAAATATACAACTTTTTTTTTGGGGGGGGGGTTGCTTTGCTAGTAAAGTTTTGACAAAACAGCACAATGCCACGCTCAAAAAGGGAGGGTTGAAAAGAAATGTAGATGTGCACTTTACGATTGTATGACTGTTTTTATTTCTTGTTTTTTTTCTTTTTAATCCCTTCTTTAGCTTGGGATCCCTGTGGACTCTTCGTACGCCCCTGCACACACACACAGTACCACTGAAAAAGCAACACTCACGCCGCCAGCACCGTAACTTGAATTGAGGCGTACAAGGCAAACTTGACAGGTTGTTCGACACTCACTTAACATTCAAGTTACACACGCGCAGGCCGCATCAAAACGAAATTTGTGACTACATCACACGCGAGAGTTGGCGCACCGATTTCCAAATGGAATTCCAGGAGGTCGCGTGGGTTGTGAAGCACGCCCATCTCACGTCAAGTAAGAGCTCATGTTAACATCTTCAAATCCAATTTTTTGTAGCCATGTTATTCGTGTTAGCAATGCGCATCAGCGAAGAGGCGCTTTGGATTATGCACACAAGCGCCCCCCCCCCTTCCAATTCAACTTGACTCACTTGTGCGTTCTCTCTCTCTCTCTCTCTCTCTCTCTCTCTCTCTCTCGCTCGCTCGCTCGCGCACACACACACACACACACGCACACACGCGCGCGCGCGCACAGACACACACTTCTCGTCAAGGGATTGCTTTTTGTTCTTGCAGCGACTGACTGATGCGATCATCGTGACGCTTCCCCGTCACCCCTTCACAATGCGTGTGCGCGTGCGTTGAAAGAGGACAAGTCGACTGACTCCACTGTAGGACGACAAGGACTTTCTTGAAATTAGCGCCGGAGCAGGAGGTGGGGGAGGCGGCGATGTCCTGAGTGTGTATGCGCGCGTGCGCGACCAGAGGGGAGCAGCGGCCGCCATGTTAACCAAGAAGCCCGGAGCATCGGTCCTCCCGACGGGTGAGCACAGCCTACTGTAGCCGAGAGGAGCGCATCCGAGCGTGGCCGATGCGGTCGGCCCGGGATGGGGGGCGCTTACCTCCGGTGCACATATACATTTATATATACATGTGATATATTTATATAGAGAGAGATATATAGATAGATATGTGTGTGTTTGTTTCAAGAAAAAAAGGAGCGCCTGTGAGATGGGAGCTGGCTTAGCATGCTAAGTGCTAAAAATAGTCTCTTGCGCCCCAGAAGCGGGCTGCTAGCATGAGCCGCTAACGTTAGCCCCAGCGGCGATCCAAACAGTCGCGTTTGGAGCACTGACAGTCGATGGAATGCAATCGATTAGCTCTTTGACGCGCCGCTCGACACAAACGCGACTCTTGCGTGACATCGCGAGGTCTCGATGCGGAGCGGGGCAGCGGTCGAGACTTCTCGTCCGTCCGCTGACATGTACCGACTTGTGTCGTCACGACTGCGCGAGTCATGGCAACAGTCGGCTTGTGAAGATGTCGAACGACGAGAAGTCGCCGCGGCTCACGGTGCTAAGAGTCCAGTAAGCAGGCGAGGCGGTCTAAAGAAAGACAGCGAGTGAGCGGTGGCGGTTGATTCAATGCTATTGAGTGTGACTTGAGTTGAGTTAAACTGCTCTCTGTTGAGTTGTGCAGAGGAAATAAAGCCGGAGGAGGTACTGGACTCCTGTTAGCTGCTTGCTCATGCTTTTCGGCTGTCGTGTAGTTACTGTGTAACAGGCAATAGTCAGCGGCGCACGCACGCACGCCTTTATTTTCCCACTCGTCCCGTCCGGCAGCATGCCGATGGTGCGAGCCAGCGCAATGGTGTCGGGTTCGCCAGTGCGGCGCGCTTGCTCTAGAGCGTCTCGCCGTCCGACGGATCCATTTGATTGACCCTAGTTTTTTTTGGGGGGGGGGCGGCTTACATCGTTTAGAGCGCGTCCTCACAAGGCGCACGCACTCGATTATGAGCGACGGGAGTTCGTGAGTGGCAGGACTTAAAAAGCGCTCCTTGGCCTCATTAGCGGAATTACACGGAGCCTTCCGATTAAAAACGACACACGCCATCTGTCGCCCTCAGAGTCTACCGCACATGCGCATTGTGGTCCAGGCGAACAGTTTGGCACGCACGCAGTGCTGTCGTGGTGCCGGCATTCTATTACGTCAACGACGACGCTTCCGTCAACATATTCAAGCCTTGCAAAGGAGGCTGCCCTACTGATTGACAGCGGCAAGCATGCGGCCACACAACCCGGGGCTGTGCAAATGCAAGCCAAAACCTGACCGAGCGGCGCACGGACAGATGGGATAGGTTTCCAAATCGCAAATAATTGGGTGGAATCAGGTCAAAGATGAAGGCAAACAGTCGGGTGACCAGAGGGGGGGTTGCAAAGGAAGTGGGGTGGCTTACCTCCTCAAATATGCAAACGTGTCAATCCGTCGACTTCTTAGGACATTTCTGCTTGGTGGTGTCCTGTGAAATGTTGACAAAAATGCATTCATCAATGTTGGGAAATCTTGAACAATTTGACAGAGTTGACATCGTGACAGAGTTGACATGGTTTTCGACTGTGGCCCCACGACCGCAAAAGTTTGCACACCCCTTCTGTCAACTCTTGCTGGCTGGACATTGATACTTTTGGGTGTTTTTTTTTTTTTTTTTTTTTTTAAATGACGTTTTTTCCTGGCGGGCAAGGCGGGCGAGCCGGTCTTCTCTCCCGGTCCCGGCGGCGCCCTGACGACGTCGCCCGTCACGCTGCCGCCTCTGCGCAACAACAACAACAACCTCAACCCACTGACAGTACGTTCCCAAACAAGCTCCGGTTAGCGTCTTAATCTGAGAGAAGCACCTGTGAGCTTTCGCCGCACGCAAGCGCACAAAGGTGTCTGAAGTGCACGCTGTTATCGAAGGGCACCCAGGTGTGCGGTCACCATGGTGACAAGGAGATGACTCACCGCGAACACGGCCGCGGTGCGTTTGTGTACACGTGAGGCAGGCGGCTTTCCTCACCCACACGCGTCCAAATGAAGGGCACGACATTGTCACGCAAAACGCTTGCGTTTCATTTCCATTCATCCATTCCAGGCGTCCTCCCAAAAACAAGAACCGTACTGAGGAAAACTTTCAGAATAACATACAAATTTCAAGGGAAATAAAAAGAAGGAAGCCATTTTTGTCCCACTGCATCAAACAAACGGCCGTTTTGTGCCGGCTTCTCGGGCTCATCGGGATGGTGCCATTTCACTTGTCCTTCTTCACTGACCGTCAAGAATATAAGTGCAATGTCACGCATCTTCATTTCAAGACAGCTCTTTCACAACAGCTGACTATGTATGTCTCTATATATAGATATCTATCTCCTGGATCATATGACCGCGGTTCCATTAGCATTAGCTTCAACTTGCTGCTCCTCGGGAAATGCTCACATGTGAAAGCCTTCAGCATTCGCTCAGTTACGTTATGAAGCAAGTTTATTTGCTGCACCGTTTTTACACACAAGACAGTGCCACTTTTCTCCCTTCAAATAAGTGAAAATGAATCTGGTGTTTTTTGGGAGGGCTGGAACAAATGAATGCGATTGGAATCGATTTCTTGGAACCGCAAAGTCGGCGCCGTCCTATTCAAAGTGTTTCCGCTCAGGGTGGCGCTAAAGCGGCCATGTCGGAGGGCGTGCACATCACGCAGCTGTTTGACGACAGCGGGGTGAAGCGAGCTCATCCGAGCGGCCCGCAGCTCAACGGTCTGGCGTCGCTCGCCCCCTCCCGGCCGGAGCGCCCCTCCGCCGCCGGCCCGGATCCGGCCCACCACGGGCGCCCCGGCGCTACCTCGCACAAGGCGCCCGAGGGCAAAGCCAAACCGGCCGCCTACACGCCCGAGCAGGCCATGAAGCAGTTCATGTCCAAGATGTCGTCCTTCGAACACCACGAGGTCTTCAGCTACCTCGAGGGTGAGCGCTCGCCGCCGCGCGGCCCGGCGACATCCGCCGGCGGCCATCTCTCAAGCTCGCCGTCTTTTCTGCCTAGTCTATTTTGTCGGTCCCAACGCTAAGAAGAGGGCGGGCGTCCTGGGAGGCGCCAACAACTGCGGCTACGATGACGAGCAGGGTTCCTACATCCAAGTGCCGCACGACCAAATCGCCTATCGATACGAAGTCCTCAAGGTGATCGGCAAGGGCAGCTTTGGACAGGTACGAACGAACCGGCACGCTCCGGCGCCACGCTGCGACAGCACACTCTGACATCACACTGTATGCCCTGACGCCTCGCTATGCACAACTCACGCCGACTCGGCGCGCAGGTGGTGAAGGCGTTCGACCACAAAACGCAGACGCACGTGGCGCTGAAGATGGTGCGCAACGAGAAGCGCTTCCACCGGCAGGCGGCCGAGGAGATCCGCATCCTGGAGCACCTGAGGAAGCAGGACAAGGACTCCAGCATGAACGTCATCCACATGCTGGAGAACTTCACCTTCCGCAACCACATCTGCATGACCTTTGAGCTGCTCAGCATGAACCTGTATGAGCTGATCAAGAAGAACAAGTTCCAGGGCTTCAGTCTGCCCCTGGTGCGCAAGTTTGCGCACTCCATCCTGCAGTGTCTCGACTCGCTGCACAAGAACCGCATCATCCACTGCGACCTCAAGCCCGAGAACATCCTGCTCAAGCAGCAGGGACGCAGCGGAATCAAGGTGACCGGCTTGACGCGCACGTTCCATCAATTACTTTCTACTTTGGAAGCTCCGGCTACAGTTGTTGACGCTTGCACGTCTCAAAGATGCGCCTGCGAGTATTTTGGGATGGCTCTGTCGCTATCTGTTGGTGCGAGATCAAGAAGCGGGTCTTTGAAGGCTTACGATGAATCGTAACATTGATGCTAAACTACGTTAGCCGGTCTGTGGTGTTTTTCACATTCGAGGTTCGCCTTAGGCCAACAGACATTCACTCTTCTGCGGGCGTACAGTTAGTCGGCCATTTGGCCGCTTCGCCATATGAGGTTACGTTTGTCATCCACCAGAGGGCGCTGAGAACAAGCGCTTTTGTGTTTTTCAGGTGATCGATTTTGGCTCCAGCTGCTACGAACATCAGAGAGTTTACACGTACATCCAGTCCAGGTTCTATCGGGCCCCAGAAGTCATCCTCGGTAAGACGTCGCAATCAGAGACCGGACGAGCCCAAAAGATACGTGGCCGACACCCTGCACTGCGGCCTTTCCAGGTTCCAGGTACGGGATGCCCATCGACATGTGGTCCCTGGGCTGCATCCTGGCCGAGCTCCTGACGGGTTGTCCCCTGCTTCCGGGCGAGGACGAAGGCGACCAGCTGGCCTGCATCGTGGAGCTTCTGGGCATGCCGAGCCAGAAGCTCCTGGACAACTCCAAGCGAGCCAAGAATTTCGTGTCGTCCAAAGGGTACCCACGCTACTGCACCGTCAGCACCCTGCCCGACGGCACCGCAGCGCTCAGCGGCGGGCGCTCGCGGCGCGGGAAGCTGCGGGGTCCGCCGTGCAGCAAGGACTGGAGCGCGGCGTTGAAGGGCTGTGACGATGCGCTCTTCTCGGACTTCCTCAAACAGTGTCTGGAGTGGGACCCCGCCATCAGGATGACGCCCAGCCAGGCGCTGCGCCACCCCTGGCTGAGGAGGCGACTCCCCAAACCGCCCGCAGGCAACGCCGCGGACAAGACGGCCTCCTCCAAACGCGCCACCCCCGCCGACGGCGCCATCACCTCCATCTCCAAGCTCTCGGCCACCTCAGCCAAAACCAGGACTAACCTGGCACCCATCACCGACGCCAACGGGAACATCCAACAGCGAACAGTCCTGCCCAAACTGGTAAGCTGAAAGCGAGTGCACCCCCGGCCCAACGAGGAAGCACTCACGAGCTCGCGGATGCCACGTCACCGACAGCACAGTCGATCGACTTGAGGCTGCCTGGGGTGCGTTCGGTGCCGATGGGAGGAAAACACACCGTCCCCGGTGGTGCCTTCAGGCTCCTCCGGCAGAGTGACGCAGACAATCAATACAAACGGCGCAGATGGAGGGAACAAGGCTGTTTTCATCTTTTAGCACATTATTCCATCAACGATTAGGCACCCCAAAAACATTTTTATCTGGAGGATGACGCTCACAAAACTAGCCGTGCGCGCCGCTGATGGAGCTACTGACACATTAATCGGCGTTGGGAACTCTTAGCCACATCAAGCTCTCGGCAGACTAATCTAGCAGAGAAGTCTTACGTCGCATTCAATAACTCAATGTGTGCTTTGTTTTCAGTTAGCACCTCTGTTAGCATCACGCTCAGAAGAGAGGCTTCTTGTTTCTGTGCGATTAGCATCATGAGACGCCACCATGCTAACTCCTGTCAGAGGCTAATTCAGGACAGATGCTACACACATCCAAAGGGTACAATGGCTTCATTTTTCGAATACTGCCAATTGACGCCAGCTGTTTACAGTCCCCAACCGCCCTCCCACCGCTCCTAAAAAGATGATGATGATGATGAAGGGTCCGTGTCAACACAACATGCTACACTGTGAGGGCGTCAGCCATTTAAAGCCATTTTCTATCCTCGGGGCGTATGTGTGCGCGCGTGCGCGCGTCCACATGATAAATCGCACAGCAATTGAACGCCTCACGAAGACGTGCAGGCGGGATATTATTTATGAATATTTATTATCAACATTTTTGTTCTAACCAGGATGTGCAGCAAATACTTGAATGTGTGCGTGTGCCTGTTTGTTTGAAAACCAAAACGCAAGTGGCAGTGATACTACAATGATGATGATCTCAGCGACGTAGCATACAGGCGAGCCGACAAGAACACACTATCTGCTTTGTGATTGAAATGTTTTTTCTTTTGTTCCACTGAGCAAGACGACTAAACTTTTGTGCCTTCAAAGATCGACATCAAGCCAGAAAGCGAACTTTTTACAACAGGAAGTTGCACTTGTGAGAGGCGGGTCTTGGTGGAGAAACGCCATCAGCCAGATATCACACGTCGCCAACGACAAAGACGGCAGGGTTAAGCTAACACTAGCCAATCCACCGCTAGCATCCGAATGCTAGCCGATATGCTGCAATGACGCTTGTTTTTGTAACAGTGACGTAAGAACTACTGCTAACATCGCGAGTAATTCGTTTTGATAAGTTCTTAAACTAGCGTTTGTTTTTTTTGGGGGGG